AAAATGGCCGACTTCCTGCGCGGCGGGGCTAATGGAAGCCATTGGAAATACGTCCGCAATTCCATGAGGAATGTTGGTGCCAAAATTCGTGAATATTGGAGAAACTATATGCGACTACCACACAATAGGGGGAGCTGTTTAAACAAAAATGTACGACTTTTTTGTACATTCTCAAAAATGTCATGGGCTGTGACGTGTGTCCCAAGTTGTGCGTTACAGCTAATTTTAGCTCATCGCAATTAAAAAAAAATAGGTATAGACCACACCCACATTCGTCAGTCGTTGCAACACTTTAAATCTCAATTTATACTCGCCCCCAGAGTATGTGTATAATTTTTTCGTAAGATTCTGTCGATCCGTTCTTGAGTTATAAATGTGTGGTGTTTTTGGTCCAAAAGGAAAATGCTTTGAAATGCCTATTCTCCAAGACAGACTGAAAAGATCCACCAACATTTGTGATACTTGTGTAAATTGTTGATGAGTTATGAGTATTTCTTTCTAAGCCACGCCTTTTGGCAATTACCGGACATGTGTGCCAAATTTCAGGTCAATCGGACTTAAGGTGAAAGCTTCAGAATTGTTCTAAAATTTGATTTTCATAGGGGGCGCTAGAGAGCCAGCTTTCAACTCTTAAGCCATTTCAATGCATTTTTTTATTTCTGCACCAGACCTGACGTCCGTGCAGCATTTCACAACTTTACGAGCGTCGGAACTGGTAGCGTAGCGAAATATTAATAATAATCTGCAGGAAAACAATAGGTTTCCTCGCACTTTGTGCTAGGACTCCGCTGGGTCCTAGCACTATCGGGTTCGGGCCTTAATAATAATCGAGCAGCGTCGTCTACCAGAAGAGGTCGTGAAATAACTTTTTATCCAGTTTTAAATCACTTTTTATAACATACCTGGAGGAGCTGAGAGCAAAGATCGGACATCTTCTCTTTGTTTGGAGTCAGAAAGTCACACATTGACTATATATTGAAATAGAATTTTGAGAAATTTTGAAAAAAATAGAATTTCGAGAAATTTTGAAAAACTTAAAGAAAAAGTCAGAAAAATTTAGGAAAAAACTGAAAGTTGAGACATTTATTAAAAAAGATCAGAATCTTTAAAAAAAAAAAGTAAAAAGAAAAGAATTTGGGAAATTCAGAAATAAACAGAACTTTGAGGAATTTTGAAAAATTCATAATTTCTACTGAGTACTTCTACTTTTACTAAAGCACTTCAAGCTCGCCACGCGCCTCTCCGTTTATCCAGGGCTTCTGATTCGGGAATGTCCGTACAGTAACCTTTGGTACCACGTCATCGATGCCTTTTCCAATGTAGCAGATGACCGTGTCCGTGTGTGTGTTGATGTTTTCGTCCTCAAACACACACCAATCCATAGATTCAAAGCAATCCTGCAGAGCTGAGTCTGGCTCCTCCCTCCAGTGCTGTACAGTCCGTGTCACCGGTCTGTCCCGTCTCAGTTTCTGTAAGCAGGCAGCGGCAGCAGTGAGATGTGCTCTGATTTGCCGAAGGGAGGACGAGGTAGAACTTTATATCCATGTGGAAAGGAGAATAAACTTGGCCAGTGCGGTGGAACATCCACTGCTGTCAGCACAACCAATGTCAATTCCCTCTGCAAATAACAAGGCGTGCATCCGATCATGAGATGCTCTAAATGAGGAGAACAGTCCGAAGAAATAATCCCCACATCTGAGCACCAGTTATTGTTCACCATGAAGCACACATGGGAGAGAGGAGTTGAGCCAAGTCTCTGTGAAAACCATCACGTTACAGTTCTTAATGTCCCGTTGAGAAGCCGTCCTGCTCCTGAGTTCATCACAGCTTAATATCCAGAGACTGGACATTAGCCAGAAGAATACTCGGTAGAGGAGGCCGGTTCTCACGTTTCCTCACTTTGTCTTCCTCCTGCTCAGATCTATTGTACCAGTCAAAAGTTTGGACACACCTTCTCATTCGAATGTTTTTATTTTGTTTATTTATTTTCTACATTGTTAATTAATACTGAAGAGATCAAAACTATAAAAGAACACAAATGGAATTATCTAGTAAACAAGAAAGTAGCCCCTTTGCCTTGAATGAGAAGGTGTGACAAACTTTTGACTGATACTGTATATGTAGATATATTTTAACTCAGGTGTTGCTCTTCGTCCTCTGACGGCTCGTCCCTGTTACACCGGCTCTCACGTGACGCTGATGTGTGTTTATGAGGGAGTGACGGCGTCCTCAGATCAGATGCATGCAGACACAGGACAGACGAGGAAGAGCTGAGTTTCCTCCACACACGAAGAGAGTCTGTGAGTGGACCTGGAGAGAGTCTGTGAGTGGACCTGGAGAGAGTCTGTGAGTGGACCTGGAGAGAGTCTGTGAGTGGACCTGGAGAGAGTCTGTGAGTGGACCTGGAGAGAGTCTGTGAGAGGACCTGGAGAGAGTCTGTGAGTGGACCTGGAGAGAGTCTGTGAGTGGACCTGGAGAGAGTCTGTGAGTGGACCTGGAGAGAGTCTGTGAGAGGACCTGGAGAGAGTCTGTGAGAGGACCTGGAGAGAGTCTGTGAGTGGACCTGGAGAGAGTCTGTGAGTGGACCTGGAGAGAGTCTGTGAGTGGACCTGGAGAGAGTCTGTGAGTGGACCTGGAGAGAGTCTGTGAGAGGACGACCTGGAGAGAGTCTGTGAGTGGACCTGGAGAGAGTCTGTGAGTGGACCTGGAGAGAGTCTGTGAGTGGACCTGGAGAGAGTCTGTGAGAGGACCTGGAGAGAGTCTGTGAGAGGACCTGGAGAGAGTCTGTGAGAGGACCTGGAGAGAGTCTGTGAGAGGACCTGGAGAGAGTCTGTGAGAGGACCTGGAGAGAGTCTGTGAGTGGACCTGGAGAGAGTCTGTGAGAGGGACCTGGAGAGAGTCTGTGAGTGGACCTGGAGAGAGTCTGTGAGTGGACCTGGAGAGAGTCTGTGAGAGGACCTGGAGAGAGTCTGTGAGTGGACCTGGAGAGAGTCTGTGAGTGGACCTGGAGAGAGTCTGTGAGAGGACCTGGAGAGAGTCTGTGAGAGGACCTGGAGAGAGTCTGTGAGTGGACCTGGAGAGAGTCTGTGAGAGGACCTGGAGAGAGTCTGTGAGTGGACCTGGAGAGAGTCTGTGAGTGGACCTGGAGAGAGTCTGTGAGAGGACCTGGAGAGAGTCTGTGAGTGGACCTGGAGAGAGTCTGTGAGAGGACCTGGAGAGAGTCTGTGAGAGGACCTGGAGAGAGTCTGTGAGAGGACCTGGAGAGAGTCTGTGAGTGGACCTGGAGAGAGTCTGTGAGTGGACCTGGAGAGAGTCTGTGAGTGGACCTGGAGAGAGTCTGTGAGTGGACCTGGAGAGAGTCTGTGAGAGGACCTGGAGAGAGTCTGTGAGTGGACCTGGAGAGAGTCTGTGAGAGGACCTGGAGAGAGTCTGTGAGTGGACCTGGAGAGAGTCTGTGAGAGGACCTGGAGAGAGTCTGTGAGAGGACCTGGAGAGAGTCTGTGAGAGGACCTGGAGAGAGTCTGTGAGTGGACCTGGAGAGAGTCTGTGAGAGGACCTGGAGAGAGTCTGTGAGTGGACCTGGAGAGAGTCTGTGAGAGGACCTGGAGAGAGTCTGTGAGAGGACCTGGAGAGAGTCTGTGAGTGGACCTGGAGAGAGTCTGTGAGTGGACCTGGAGAGAGTCTGTGAGAGGACCTGGAGAGAGTCTGTGAGAGGACCTGGAGAGAGTCTGTGAGAGGACCTGGAGAGAGTCTGTGAGTGGACCTGGAGAGAGTCTGTGAGTGGACCTGGAGAGAGTCTGTGAGAGGACCTGGAGAGAGTCTGTGAGAGGACCTGGAGAGAGTCTGTGAGTGGACCTGGAGAGAGTCTGTGAGTGGACCTGGAGAGAGTCTGTGAGAGGACCTGGAGAGAGTCTGTGAGTGGACCTGGAGAGAGTCTGTGAGTGGACCTGGAGAGAGTCTGTGAGAGGACCTGGAGAGAGTCTGTGAGAGGACCTGGAGAGAGTCTGTGAGTGGACCTGGAGAGAGTCTGTGAGTGGACCTGGAGAGAGTCTGTGAGGACTGAGAGAGTCTGTGAGAGGACCTGGAGAGAGTCTGTGAGAGGACCTGGAGAGAGTCTGTGAGAGGACCTGGAGAGAGTCTGTGAGAGGACCTGGAGAGAGTCTGTGAGAGGACCTGGAGAGAGTCTGTGAGAGGACCTGGAGAGAGTCTGTGAGAGGACCTGGAGAGAGTCTGTGAGAGGACCTGGAGAGAGTCTGTGAGAGGACCTGGAGAGAGTCTGTGAGAGGACCTGGAGAGAGTCTGTGAGAGGACCTGGAGAGAGTCTGTGAGTGGACCTGGAGAGAGTCTGTGAGAGGACCTGGAGAGAGTCTGTGAGAGGACCTGGAGAGAGTCTGTGAGAGGACCTGGAGAGAGTCTGTGAGTGGACCTGGAGAGAGTCTGTGAGAGGACCTGGAGAGAGTCTGTGAGTGGACCTGGAGAGAGTCTGTGAGAGGACCTGGAGAGAGTCTGTGAGTGGACCTGGAGAGAGTCTGTGAGTGGACCTGGAGAGAGTCTGTGAGAGGACCTGGAGAGAGTCTGTGAGAGGACCTGGAGAGAGTCTGTGAGAGGACCTGGAGAGAGTCTGTGAGTGGACCTGGAGAGAGTCTGTGAGAGGACCTGGAGAGAGTCTGTGAGAGGACCTGGAGAGAGTCTGTGAGAGGACCTGGAGAGAGTCTGTGAGTGGACCTGGAGAGAGTCTGTGAGAGGACCTGGAGAGAGTCTGTGAGTGGACCTGGAGAGAGTCTGTGAGTGGACCTGGAGAGAGTCTGTGAGTGGACCTGGAGAGAGTCTGTGAGAGGACCTGGAGAGAGTCTGTGAGAGGACCTGGAGAGAGTCTGTGAGAGGACCTGGAGAGAGTCTGTGAGAGGACCTGGAGAGAGTCTGTGAGAGGACCTGGAGAGAGTCTGTGAGAGGACCTGGAGAGAGTCTGTGAGAGGACCTGGAGAGAGTCTGTGAGAGGACCTGGAGAGAGTCTGTGAGTGGACCTGGAGAGAGTCTGTGAGAGGACCTGGAGAGAGTCTGTGAGAGGACCTGGAGAGAGTCTGTGAGAGGACCTGGAGAGAGTTCAGCAGGTGAGAATCCTCCCAGAGGAATCTGTCTCATCATCAGGATCACTCTGATCACATTGTGCTGTGTCTCTGTTTACCTGGACACGTTTCTTCATGCTGATTCTAAATATCTGTTTGAAATATTGTGTTTCTCTCTGAGTTAAAGCAGAATGCATTTAGAAAGAGTTCCATGTTCTGTTGTCAGTGTTTCTCAGGTAGAAAGAGCAGCAGTCTGATTGTTATCGTAGGTCACTAACATGGAGAACACACATCATCAGTGGAAATGCAGGGTGTGTCAGAACCGGTCTAAGAACTCTGATCATGTGACTCAGATGTATTTATTATTTGTAACTCTTAAGACTCTGAACTAAAGTGCATGGAGGAAGTGAGAAGGGCTCAGATACAGCCATCCTCCTCCACTGAGCTGGTTTCACTGAAGAGCCTCCTTCAGCTCAGCTCTCAACATTTGGTCAAACCTACTGTTGGAATCAGTCCAGAAAATACTGTGTAGGGAGAACATCGTTTGAATAATAGTCTGTACCGGATCATTTAAATAACTTAACGATGTTTTTTTTCAAGCCAATGATCAACAATATGTTCTGTTATCTAAACACAACCCTGACCTTTGTTGAAACTTTATTGAGAAAGCAGTTTAGTTGTAGTGCATAGTACATTCAACAACACATTACATATCTCCCAATGTGTGTGATCAGGCAGACATGCATCACATATCACATCACATATCAGAGCTCATCTTCATTTCATTAGAGGGTCAGTTAGCACCATCTAGTGGTCAGCTAGTAGAACTACATCACCTCTCACTGACTGGTTTCTGACACTGGTTACACCGGTTCTCACGTGACTCACATGTGTTCTTACACTCCTTTGGGGCGCTCTCAGACATCAGGGGTCCCCAAAGGAAGACAACATGTCAACTATCCTGTGTCTTTCTCTTAAAACTGTTGCAACCTTTTAAATATATAAAGATTTAAAAAGTTGTAAAGACTCATAAATCCCCCAAATGCATCCGTTCTACAGAACGTAGAAAGAGTTAAACACAGAAACATGAGGGTGCATTAACACATGTTCTAACCGAAGAAAAACTAATTTGTTTCAGACGCTTTTTAATTTTTGGAATGAAAGATTTATAAATGAGTAAAAAGGCCTTTAAAGAATAAAGTGTGTGGGCCAGTCAGGTTTAAGAATAGATTTTAAAGCAGACACCATCTTTTGAAGTGGTTACTAATCGGATATCGAGGAATTTCGCTACTATAATGATCTACTACTAACTTTCTGGTAATGTTACAACCCGGCTCTAGGGCTGTAACAAAAAGCTGGGAGTCGAGACGAGGGGTATGAAAATATAAAAATCATTTAATAGTAGTTGATACAAAAACAGACAGCCGCGGCGCGAAGCTCACACGGGGACAGTGCGAGAGGAATAAGAGCCGACTCCCGAAACTCGATGGGCTGTCATTGAGCAGCTACCCCAGGCCCAGGTGCAGCTCATCAGTTAACAATCACCTGCAAGACTGGCAACCTGCAAACAGAAGGAGAGAGACAACGGAACGCCTAATGGTGTGGAGGGGTCGTCACACACCCTTAATCGAATATAAAATACACAGTTACTCGTGTAGATATATTAATTCCATCCAAAGTTCAGGAGGCGAGCTGTATGTCAAAGTATTTATGCACATTTAAAAAAATCAAATTGAGGTTTATTATAAGTTTGCAGCAACTTGTGAAACACACATATGGTTAGAATGAAAGCAGGGAATTATAATTCTGTAAAACGCTTTGAAAAGCATTCTTATATTGTCTCACTGGTCTAAATAACATACTACATTCCTCACTAATACTATTTCAACATTTAAAAATGTACGTTTGACTGTTATAACACAAGTTATATCTCAGATTGCAACGTTATTTATTTAAGTTCAGAGGTCCATATGAGCAGCCCCCACCCCCCGATTACTGAAACTAATCGATAGCTAGGGTCCTAATCTTGTTGTTTCAATGATCCCTCTCCTATATTTATAAATATATTTACATATCATTTTCTCCTTTTGAATCTCTGCAGGAAAGATGGAGACTCCTAAAAAGATCCTCTTTAGAACTTTGGAAGATTTGGGGAAAGAGGAATTTAAAAAGTTCAAGTGGTACCTAGAGCAGAAGTACCTAGGATTCCAAGGAATCCCAAAGAGTCGGCTGGAGGATGCAGACCGGATGGACACAGTGGATCAGATGTTTCTGAACTACTGCATCAATACGTTCAAAGTCACCATAATGGTTTTGGGGGAGATGCAAGAGAATGATCTAAAGGAGAAATTATCAAAACACCCTTCAGAACCTGCAGGTAGGTCATTAAAAAGATGCTACAAAGATGGGACTTGTTTTTTTATAACCCTGCATCATGTTTTTTTTAATGTGGTCAGGTAAATCAGAATGATAACAGAATGTGCCCTCCTGATAGACCCCTCAGGTAATTACCATCTTTACATGGTGTCATGGTTTAGAAAGCTGTGTGTTCAGGGTCAACTGTTTCTGACAGTCACCCAGGGTGTTCCAGGTGAGGGTAGTAAAACCTTTAAAGGAGAGCAAGTCAGGAAGAAAGCTACCACCCCTGTATTAGGGACACCGGGGCTTCATCCTTAAACCAGGAACTGGGGTCTACGCACCACTGGATCATCTAAGGGTCCATCAATGCCAGTTGGGTCTTGGTGAAGGAGATGAACATGGCATGCTCACTTCAGGCTAGACAAACCACACATTTGGGCTCAGCTCTACAACAGCTCTTGAAAGAAACCATTGGATAGAGATTTTACTCTCTCTTCTTTCCTGTCCTTGCCCAGGTCACCTTTGAGGTTCATTGAGATGAAAGCCATTACTTTAGTCTCTGCTGATGCAAAGACCAAGAGTTCATTGTGTTGCTGAGGCCGGCGGGCCTGGAGATCACGGGTACAAAATCACCCTCTTCAGTTGCAATACAAAACCAATTTGAGAGTACTTACAGTGTAAACATTTTTTTAGAGAGTACAAAGTGAGTTTGGCAATTTACTTGTCAAGTGAAAAACTGGGGCCACTGGAATCTTCTTTTTCGCCATCGTATTTTACATTTTCCTACGGTTTTACGACACCGCTAACGCAACAGCGATAAGATTTTACTTCATCACACAGGGTTGGGTTCTTATTATACATCCATGGTTGGGTATCGTTTGGATTTTAATGATTCCGGTTATGCTTTTCGATTCCGGTTCTTTGCGGTTCTCGATTCCGGTTCTTTTAGAGGTTAAAAAGAAGTCCCATGCCAATTTCACTGGCAGAAAAATATATTTATGAAAACATTAAGTCAAATCTGTATTCCTATTTACGAATCACTTCATACCGTTTCATTTTGTTACGGTTATTGAATAAAATTATATAAAAATAATCTCTGCATTGTTTAGTTAGTTCTAAGTGGTGCAGTTTGAGAATGTACAACTCTCCTCTGATGTTACACTGCAACCTGCCTGTGGGACAGTGTCCGACCACACAGTCTGTGTCCAACCAACCCAGTCTCACGGCATTTCGTGTTCACCAACAGGATTTTTAATCTATTGATTCGTGTTCACCAACACGATTTTTCCCTTTTTTTCGTGTCACACAGCACGATTTTAAAAGCAATGTATTTCTACTGCCTGCAGCACGTCTTTTTCTCCGGTCGGGTCGAGGAAGACCGGAAGCTGTGGGGTTCATAAAAACATGTTCTTACTCAAAATCAAGCCACAGTTATTGCTTTTATTTTAAATCGTATAATTTCTGACTTTTGTTGCCGTCTGTGAGGAAAATAAATGGCTCAGAGCCTCAGGATACTGACATCTGTATTTTTTAAATATGTTTTTCGTTCTAATTTGTTATTCTTTTCAAAAATAACACACTGTTATTTACTCACCAATAACACACCATTATCCTTGCTTTTATTTATTTGTTTAATTCCATAATCTCGGGCTTTTTTGGCGTCCGTCAGGAACTGAATTTCAAAATAAAAATAACCGGAAACAGACGTAGGCATTTCGAGCGATTACCCAAGATCCTCAGCTATGGTTTAAGCTCGCTGATTGGATGGTTTAGCCGCAATGCATGCTGGGATTTGGTATTTATATGATATGAAATCCGGAAAACATTTTAAAAGTATAAAATAATACTTAATTCCGAGCGCTCTTGCTTTTCTCTTTGAAAGTCATCACATAACGGCATTGTAATACACGGTTCGGCTGCATTGTATATTACAGATCTGCCGTAGTTCTTTATTTATAGAGCCCTGATGAGAAGACCTTTGGAAAAACTGAAGAAATGCCGCCGAAACTGAATACTTGACGTGGATCATAAATATATTCAACAATTAAACAACATCTTCAATTTCTCTTCACACAATACGTCTCCTTGCAGTATCAACACTAATTCGGCTGACTTTTACATTTGATCTAATTCGTATATATTTACACCATAACGGTGCACAGCTGATATAAAAGGACTGTAGTTTTTAAAGATATTACTGATTTTCTTTGAATGTAAGAATGTAAATTCTGAGTCTGAAATAGTATAGCAATATGCTGTACAATTATGTGAAAGCATGAATAAAACTACACATCTTCAGATGTTGTACGAAAACATAAGTGTCCTACACTAATAATACAAAGTTATTATGGCTGTGTGTACCTTGTGTGCACCCCCTAGTGGTTAAAGCACGTTATTGAATTATTGTTTTTATGTGTTATATTTGATTAAAAAAATATTAAGAGTACATACTTTCATAGGGGGAAAGTAGAAGGTCTGTGATAGAAATATAGAATATAAAAAATCAAGAAGATACTATAAGTGATCTCTACAATAAAACAGTTTAGTGCCGGATGTATAAAGATATTAATAGGAGGAGGTGCAAAAGAGAAAAACGAATTAACCTTTATTTAAACATTAAATAACAGATTAAGGTCTTCTTTTAAATAAGAAAAAAACGTTGGGGGTATCTATCTACAGATAAATATTAAGCCTGACAAAGTACTTAACGTCTAATATATTGCTTTCCTGCCATGTTAACTATGTTGAAGCACTTATTTTAACTGAATGAATTGTACTCTTATGTAGATAGAATAAGAAATGTGCAGAATATGACAGTTTAATGGTGGAGGTACACACATATTGATAGATGTCTTGTAATGCACTGTTGAGGAACCTGCGACCCAAGTTTTTCATTCATTGCATAACTACACCGTAGTTGTGTATATGATTTGTCAATAAACCTTTGAAAATCTTGAAATCTTGAAAGGGATGTGCAAAATAGCAATTATATACAGTTGTAGTGGCTATTTGTCAACAACAATACAACTTCAAAAGGCCACTGAGGCACCAGGTATAGTGGATCCTACGCAGATCATGAGTTGGGAATGAGTCCATTGTCCAGACAAGGCATCAACGTTTTTGTGGTATTTATTAGCTTCACCTTGGCAAGAACAATACAGCAAAAGGTGTTGAAATGTTTGTTGAACTCAGCCCTGACACTGGTAAAAAACCATAGACCTTCCCGGTGCCCACTGACTGCTGCTGTGCCCTGATTGACTTAAATAAACCCAGATGTGTGCCCAAATTGACCCATCACCTTCAAAATAAAAGCATTTTAGCTGGAACACAACTTAACTTAAATAATATGGCTGTAAATTAATTAATTCTACAAAACAAAAAATAACAAATAAATACATTAAATAAATGTGTAAAATACTGAATAGCTTCCACATAGCGGATCTTACGCAGAGCAATTATCCAGGTCCAGACAAGATTCGCTAACTAGTGCCTCAGCGGCTGTATTATTTTAAGTTAATTATCTGTTTTATTTCTATATGATTTTGGCCGCTACAACAGTCTTTAATTAACTATTAGTAGAGAATAACGAGTAATGAATATACTTTATTACTCGTTTCCATTCATGTCAATTGCAGATACATGTTTAGTCTTCTCAAGCACCAACTATCAAATATCTCCCCTGATTGTTGGCACTTGACAATCACCTTACCTGAATTTTACTCAGGTGTAACTAAAGTCTGATTTAAGGGTTGTTTATATTTCACATCATTAATCAGAATCTGCAAAGTAACTCAAATAAATGCAGTGGAGTAAAAATACCAGGTTAACCTCTGAATTGTAGTGGAGTAGAATTACAAAGTACCAATGAGCTGTCATGTGGGTATTAATGCTGCGCATTATGGACACAAGCGATTTTCACCCATTTATTAATTATATGTTTTACATTTGATAACACCAATGTGTTTAATACTGGCAACTTCTAATTGTGGGAAAAACGAAAACGTTCAGTAGAGACGTCCCATTGAACATTTTGCGAAACACAATAGCCAGCATGTGTAGTTCTGGGGGGGCGTTCGATTCCAGTTTTGGATAGTCTGGCGTGGTTTCGTTCCATTTCACACAGCTGTTTGACGCTCTGCGTAACCTTACGGGGACTGTAGTCCTAAACGATAGCTGGGGATTATGGGTAGTGTAGTGTCTTCGGCCATCCGAAACTCAGAAATGTTGACAATCGCAATGATGCTCGAAATGTCCCTTATAGGCCTACGTCTGTTTCCGGTTATTTTTATTTTGAAATTCAGTTCCTGACGGACGCCAAAAAAGTCAGAGATTATGGAATTAAACAAATAAATAAAAACAAGGATAATGGTGTGTTATTGGTGAGTAAATAACAGTGTGTTATTTTGAAAAGAATAACAAATTAGAAGGAAAAAAATATTTAAAAATACAGATTTCCGTATCCTGAGGCTCTGAGCCATTTATTTTCCTCACAGACGGCAACAAAAGTCCGAAATTATACGATTTCAAATAAAAGCAATAACTGTGGCTTGATTTTGAGTAAGAACATGTTTTTATGAACCACACAGCTTCCGGTCTTCCTGGACCCGACCGGAGAAAAAGACGTGCTGCAGGCAGTAGAAATACATTGCTTTTAAAATCGTGCTGTGCAACACGAAAAAAAGGGGGAAATCGTGTTGGTGAACACGAATCAATAGATGAAAAATCGTGTTGGTGAACACGAAATGCCGTGAGACTGGGTTGGTCCAACACATGTCCTGCAATACACATGTTGCAGCTGCCCAGCTGCTCACTGTTGTAAATGCAAATGAATAGTATTTTCATTTCAATAATGTACTACCCTGCTTCATAAACAATACTGACATCCCTGTGCTCCTCCGAGTCTGGGGACAGCGCGAGGAGGACACAGACAGGGAGGCTGGTTCACTTCAAAAAGGAAATGGCGGTCAATATTAACAACATAGGAGCTAAAACGCTTAATAACCTTCATTACGTGTTAGA